TATATGAACATATTCCATTGACGATTAAAGAAAACAAAAAGGCCTATAATTGTAGAGAGTCTGACAAGTTTGGTAGCAGGATAAAATAGTATGCAATTTTCTAAAGAAGATACTTCTGATATAATTTAGAAAGAAATCAACTTTTGGTGGCAAAATAAAAGATGACTAGCTGGAAAAAGGACAATACGTTCTTATCCACAGTTGTTATTTCCCCTAGCTTGCTGTCAGAAAACACTCTAACAAAAATAGTACCTCTCAAACAATTGTTTATAAACACATGCTTATAAAAATGTTGGTAATGATATTAAAAGTCAGCAATCTTTCATGCATTTCTTTTCTTTCCTTTATTTAAGAAATATACAGTGAGTCTCTAGTTCCTGACAAGTGAAATGCTTCATTCTGTTCTCATCAGGCCAAAAATGAAGCAGAACTAACTTGGACAGAAACTAACATCAGTAACAAAAATACCAAACACTGTTGGCCTGCATGGAGCTTACATTCTATCTGAGATAAATGACAATTAAGAAAATACGTGTACCTTGGATAATCAAAGCACAGCTTAAGAAATAACCACAAAGCTGGAGACCTCTAACTCCATGATCTAAAAATTTACTACAAAGCCACAGTGGTCAAAACAGCCTGGTACAATAAAAAATACATAAATCAAAGAGTAATAATGAGACCCCAGAAGTAAATCCATCCACATACAGTCAACTGATCCTTGACAAAGGGCTAAAACACATTAAACAGGAAGAAGACAGTCTCTTTAACAAATGGTGCTGACAAAAATTGGAAAACAATTTTCAGAAAAATGAAATAAGACCCTTATCTCACAACATATACAAAAACAAACTCAACGTGGATTAAAGACCGAAATGTGAAACCTAGAGTTGTAAGATTATCAATGAACAAACAGAGACAAACTTAGAGATTTTCATACATGGCACAAATATAATATCATACAATACAAAAGACACACAGTAGAAGGCAAAAGAGATGACTGGGACCTCCTAAAAATTAGACAGTATTATGAGCTCTGGTAGCGTAGTGGTTACGAATCGGGCCGCGAACCTCAGGGTCAGCAGTTGGAAACTACCAGCGGTTCCGCAGGAGAAAGATGAGGCATTCTGCTCCCGTAAAGATTTACAGCCTTGGAAACCCTGTACAGGGTCGCTATGAGTCAGAACCGACTCCACGGCTCATAACAAAAACATGCATGAAAGGATTTCACAAAAAGTGTAAAAAGGCAGCCTGCATACTGGGATTTTTCTTTTTTTTTTGTAATAATTTACCAGACAAGGGACTACTCTCTAAAATTTATAGAAAATGACAACATTTCTCCACGAAAACAACAAACATCCCAATTTAAAAATGGGCACAGAACATAAACAGACATTTCACCAAGGAAGACATTCAGGCAGCCAACAATTTCATTAAGAAAGGTTCACTATCATTAGCCATTATTGTTGTTGTTGTTGTTGAGTGCCAGCTGACTTATAGTGACCCTGTATAGGGTTTCCCAGGAACAGCTGGTGAGTTTGAACTGCCAACCTTGTAGTTCATACTGACCTTGTAGTCCAGTGCTTTATCCCACAGCACCACACCAGGACTCATTAGCCATTGTTGGGAAGTGCTGTGGAGTAGGTTCCGACTCAAAGCGACCCTGTATAGGGGTTTCCGAGGAGCAAGTTATTAGCTTGAACCACCAACCTTGTGGTTCAAGCTGACCTTGCAGTCCAGTGCATTAACCCACAGGGCCACACCAGAGAGATGCAAATCAAACCAACAATGAGACATCATCTCACCCCAGCATTAACAGCAAAGTTCAAAAAAATAGAAAAAAACAAATGCTGTTGAGGGTGTGGAGAGACTGGAGCCCTCCTATATTCTGTGGAACTGTAAAATGATTCAACCAGTCTGGAAAACAGGAAGGCACTTCCTCAGAAAATTAGAAATATCGTATGACCCAGGAATCCCTCTACTTGACCTATATACAAAAGAAATATGAGCCAGGAAATAGTAGATATGTGCACAATAGAAAAAGATGGAGACAGTCTAAATGCTCATCACTGGAAAATAGATAAACAAACTTTGGTACATACACACAATGGAATACTATACAACAGTGAAGAATAGTGATAAATCTGCAAAAAAAAAAAAACTGTAACATGGATGGACCTGCAGGACAATATTGTATGAGACCATTATTGTAAAACCATAAGAAAATGTTTCCATACCAAAAGAAACATTCTTTGATGGTTACAAGAGGTAGGAGGGAAGTGAGAGTAATTCATTGACTGGAGGGTACATCACATGTTAGCTCAGGTAATGGGGAGGGCAATATACAAGAAAGGGGAAGGAAATATATAAGAAGAGGAGGGTGGCAGAAGAATGACGAAGATAGGTGAAGACACAGGCAGGTATGTGGGCTAAAGTGGATAGAGGTGATATATAGACGACTTTGGAACAACAGTGCTCTGTGAATAGATACATGGACAGAGACACAGGCTGAATGGATATGGGAGGAAGAATGGAATATATACAGATAGATGATAGATAGATAGATAGATAGATAGATAGATAGATAGATAGATAGATAGAAAGAGAGAGAGTGAGAGAGTTAGTTTACCTTTCCTGTAAACACAACGATGAATGTGATAGAGCATACAGTGGGCAAAATAATTAAATCTGTTTAGATATTATCAAACATATAGGCAATGAGTAGTTGAGCATGGGCTCAGGACCATAGTCTCAGGGACACCCTGTTCAACTGCCAGAACTTAGTCCACAAAGATAATGCTCTACATCCTACTTTGGTGAGTAGCAGCTGGGATCTTGAAAGCTCATGAGCAATGCTCTAAGGTGCGGCTATTGATCTCTCTATGTGCAGAAGAAAGACGAGTGGTAAGAACTGAGGAGGCTTGGAGTCAATTAGTACAATGGACTAATGGAACATGTGAACATCAGTTTCAACTCGGAGACCAGAACTAAATGGTGTCCTGCTGGAAGTAAACACTACTACCAACTGCTCTGAAAGGGATCACATTAGTGGGTCTCAGATACAGAGAGAATATGTGGAACAAAATTCAAAATTATTTTTAGAAAAAAGACCAGGCTCACTGGTTAGAAAGAGACTGGAGAAACCTGAGACTATGACCCTTGGCCACCACCCATCAGGTCTGGAAAGAAACTAACCCTTGTGGCCCAATTTTCAGTCAAGTAGTTGATAAGTACATGGGGGAAAACAACACTAGTTAGGTATGACCATGGAATGGTCAGTCATTCAAAATCAAAACGGCAACATTTTCCTAAGGACAAAAGTTGAGAAGGGATGGGAAGGTGGGTGGAATGCAAACAGGAACCACAGGGAGGAAACATGGTAACTATTGTTGCATGGAGAGAGTTGTAATCATTTGGATAAAACAAAGTATATGATTTGTTGAACGTAAAACTGATGATCTTGTCTGTAAAACTTCAGTGAAATCACAATAAAAAGTTTAAAAATATACGTGAAATGGCTAGTGTGCATATTTTACTGTTTTGTCCTTCTGCCATAATATTGCCTTGCTGTTAAGTATTGTTCATTGGTTCTGACTTACAGAGACTCTTTATAGGGTTTCTGAGATCATAAATCTTTGGGAACAGAAAGTCTCATCTTAATTTTGTAGCATGGCTGCTAGTGGATTTGAACCACCAATCTTATGGTTAGCATTCCAATGTTTAGAGCTATTGTGCTCAATATCGTCTCACTTGGATGATATTTAAATAAAATTTTAATGTGATATAAATCTGTTGATTATTTCAGATAAGCTACCTTAGCCAAGTTCTATGGTAGATCGGTTTTAAAGGGATTGCCATGGTATAACCCAGGGATCATCAAACTTTTTGTACTTTTTTCTGTAGATCACCAATTCCAATAAGCAGCATCATGACAAATGGTGATAAAGTTGATTCTGTTAATAATTCCATCTTACTTGGGTCAACAACCAATGCCCATGGAAGCAGTGGTCAAGAAATAAAACAGTGTATTAATGCATTGGGAAACCCTGCTACAAAAGACTGCTTTTACGAATCAAAGATGTCACTTAAATGACTAAGGTGTGCTAGATTCAAGTCATGATATTTTCAATTGCTTCAACAAAGATAAAATAAAAACTGAAGGATTTGAATTTTGTTTGGTGTTAGCAAAGGGTATTGAATATGCAATGGATTTCCTGAGGAACAAACATATCAGCCTTGGAAGAAATGCCTACAGAATGCTCCTTAGCATACTTTGGACATGGATCTAGGAAAGATCATTGCTAGAAAAGGACATCATGCTTGGTAAAGGAAGGGTCAGTGACAACAAACGAAACCCTCAATGAGATGGAATGATACGATGATCGTACAATGGACTGTAACAATCAATAATCATCAAGATGGTACAGGACCAAGCAACGCTTTCATCTTTTATATATAAAATTGCTATGAGTTGACGTCATCTCAGTGGCAACTGGAAGCAACAGGCTACCTGTAGTCTGTGTGGCATATTTTTTCATTAAAAAAAAAAAAAAAAAAATCCTTCAGGAATCTAAAGATATTCTTAGTTCACAGGCCATATAAAAACAGACCAAAGAGCAAATTTGGCTCACGGACCATATTTTCCAAGTCCTGACAGAATGACCTGAATATACTTGTATTTAAGTGTCTATGTTCAGTTGTTCAGTTCTAAATTTCATGCTTCTCCCATATTTTTAAATATTTTTCTCTTTATTATTCATTTATTTAAAGCTAATAAGACATTATGTCCTAGCATTACAGAAGATAGAACTACAGCAGCCTCAAAGTCAGTTCTGAAAAGCAGGGCCACCTACTCTGTTTCACACAAGCAACAGAAAACTTCTTGGCAGAAAACTCTTCTCAGTCTATATTCTAAAGAGAGATATAGATATGGCGGTGATTTTGCATGCTTTCCACCCACTTATAGGAACAGACCCATGTATGGTCGAATTTTCTCTTACCTTGCTGGAGGAACATCGATATTTGAAGAAACAACTTTTCGTTTTTGCTCAAGAAGACAGACAGAGCGAGTATTTTCTTTTTCATGGTCAAGGACTCGGTTGGGTTTTTTGGTGTCTGCTGTTTTTACATCTTCCTCCATGGCCAAGGAGAACAAGTGTTGTTGAGACAATTTTTTACTGGAGTCACGTTTTAAGTCCTCTGACTGAAATGTGAAGGTCATGTCCCGTTTAATGCTCCCTGCCTGCAAAAGAAATGGAAAAAAATTCTTACTCACACAAAACACTGACCTAGCACAACTCTGCGCCAGGGCTATGAAGACAGACCACAGACACTGTCATCCCCGGCTCTTCTTGAGGATTTCATGAATTAAATGGGGGAAATTTTAGCACAAAAATGAAATAACATTACAATGTAATGCATCTGTCACAATGCAATGAAGTATCACAGACACAAAAGAAGCCATTCAGTTGTACAAAGACTTTGGAGACTTGAGAGCAGAAAGTCTCTAAGACAAACTTAAATTTTTAAAATATCTGTTTTCTTCTGCAGAACTGAGAAAATGCAAATAAACAAACACTTCAACCTTTCATGCTGATTAAGTTTAAAATCAAGATTATACATAAAAGTAATCTTAACTCTATTAAAACAGGTCACACCCAAACTCTAACTCATGAAGAATTGTTTTGTTTCTTTTTCTATGCGTTACCTACATCAGTTAAGACCATAATGTTTTCCTTTCTAAAATCATATGATAAGAAATTTATATTAATTTTTCATATCATTTTTAACTAACTGCAACGATGATTAAGGTTTGAGACAAATTCATAATTAAATCTCATTGAATTAGAATTTGTGATAACTGAAAGAGAAGAGTGAAGTGAAAGAAAATATTCTGGAAGATAATTCATATTGTAAACCTGGTTTGTTGAAAATTATTTGAAATTCTAAGTGTACAAACAAGAATCAATCTGTCCGGTAACTCATAGTGGCGGCAACAATGAGCAACGGTTGTGAGGCCAAGGACTGGGTAGTAGTCATCTTTCTTTTATACATAAGGTCACAGTGAACTGGAAGCTACTCAACAGCATCTAACAACAGCAGCTGATAACACTAACCAAATTAATGAGTGGCCGTGAGTGTTTCAAAATGTATACATCTCTAAGACATTCTGCAGGTCTCTAAGCAATGCATCCTCTCTGTGGAGTCAATAAATTTTTATTAGCCATTTAAAGAAATACTTGTTCATTTTAAATTTCAAGTGGGAAAAATATCATAAAGAATTTTAAACTTTGCTGTGGGATACAGCACTGAACAACAGGGTTAGTTTGAAACATAAGATTGGAGGTTCAAGATTACCAGCTTCTTCTTAAAAACCTTATACAAGGTTGGAACTGACTCAACAGCACTTAACAATTGAATCAATAAATTTAGATGTATAGAACCTAAAGCCATAAACTTAAGGTATTTTCTGAATGAAATGAGAATATGTATATTAGAAGATAGCAGAATCTGGTAAATCATGATATTAATTACTAGACAGAGTAGAACTCTGAGAAATATGTGTATTAGCGTCACAGGACCTGTACATATGGGAGATTTTCCAGAGCCCAGAGAGATAGAGATAACTTGTGACTTAGACCAGAATGCATGTTTTCATAAATACATGGAGCTCTAAACTGATCACTGTGTTCTCCTGGGTCTGCATTTGTCATGGAAAAGAAACAATCCTCTTCCCATGATTTTTCGTCAGTCCTCTACCCTGCTCCCCAGGAAAATGCTGAGTCACTTTTGGTCAAAATGTATAATATTAAAAAGTCACATTTCCCAGAGTGCTTTAATAAAATAAACTACAAAAACAAAACAAAAGTATGAGCAGCCACCTAAGGTATAATTGTTGGTCTCTCTATGTGTGGAGGAAAGAAGAGTGATGAAAATTTAAGACACCTGTAATTAATTCGTACAATGATTAATGGAGCACACAAACATCAGTCTCTGGGACTCTGAGACCAGAAGAATTAGATGGCACCCAGCTACCCCTATCAACTGCTTTGAAAAGCATCACATTAGAAAGTTCTGGGTAGAGTAGGCAAAAATGTGGAACAAAACTCAAATATATGGAAAAAATAAATCAGGATTACTGGTACAAAAGAGACTATGGAACCTGAGACTTTAGTTCAGTCCTAAAACTGAACTCATTCTCACGGCTCAATTTTCAGCCACGTAGAGTTGGACTGCAACTCTGGGCTGCAAAGTTGGTTTGAACCAACTAAGATTGGCAGTTCAAGCTCACCAACCACTCCTCAAAACCCTATACAGGATTGCTATGGGTTGGAACCGACTTGATGGAACTTAACAACAGTAGATAGGTATACAAGGGGTACAATACCACTATTAAAGTATGCTCACCATGGAAGGAGAAACCATTCAAGATCAAAAGGGCAGCATTTACTTAGGTAAAAGTTCAGAAGTTGGAAAGAAAGGTGCAACGGAACAAAAATCTCAGCTAGGAAGTGGGATAACTTACATTACATAGAAGGGATTGAAATCAACTAGTGGATGGTCTGTGGAAGAATACGATTTGTTGAATGTAAAACTGATGATCTATTCTGTAAACTTTCACTCAATTCATAATAGTTTAACAAAAAAGTTAAAAAATACCCCAAAACATAAGAATCCAAGAAAAATGAGTGTCTTCTTTTAAGAATTATGTTTTAATGATAAGTATACATAGTCCTGGTGGGCACTGTGGGTTAATGCGTCAGACTGCAAAGCCGTTTGAACTGCAAGGCTGGCAGTTCAAGCTCACTAATCACTCCTCGGAAACCCTATACAGGATCTCTATGGGTCGGAACCAATTCGACGGCACTTAACAACAATACACAGTTTCAAGAAATAAAAAAAAAAAACATTTAAAACCTCCAAAATAAAATAATTTTTCTATTAAAATGTACTTTGGAAAACTGACAAATATAACTACAAATATTTTTACAATCCATCAGGAATCACTGTTCTATGCAACAGTGAGTTTTTCTTGTTAATTGTCAAGTCAATTCTGATTCAAGGTAATAGACCAGAAGTGCTGCATAGGATTTTCAGGGCTGTGAACTCTGGTAGGTTACGAATCGGGCTGCGAACCTTAAGGTCAGCGGTTCGAAACTACCAGCCGCTCCGCGGGAGAAAGATGAGGCTTTCTACTCCCGTAAAGATTTACACCCTTGGAAACCCTGTACAGGGTCGCTATGGGTCGGAACCGACTCGATGGCACTTCACAACAACAACAAAACAACAACCTATCCAAAGGAAATCAACAAGCCTTCTTCCAAGATACCTCTACATGAGTTTGAACTGCCAACCTTTCAGCTAGTAGGTGAGCGCTTAATCATTTGTGCCACCCAGACTCCCATGGAGGTGAGAGGGAGTGGTGTATACTTCTATTGCAGCCCATTTCCAATCTATATTACAACAGGCATCCTGTAAATGCCAGGCATAAAAGAAGAAAATGAAGACCTGGTTTTGATGATTGTAAGTAGCTCCTGTCTGTCAAAGAGTACATTTATTAAATATTAAAGCATTAATTAGCATTAGTTGGAAAAATAATTGGCATCCTTTCCTCCCTTGAATCCAACTAGGCTGGTTAAATGAATTCACTCTAAACTTACAAGGAGAGAAAAAACATTACAAGCGGACCAGCTTCTGGCTTTAAAAACTTTACAGGGAAACATAGCATCTAGAGCAAATTAATACAAAGTAGAATAAATTTCCATGAGAAATTATGCTACAATTGTATGTCATGCTCTTAGGCCAAAATTTACAATGAAATAAATTATAGTAATATTCAGCAATGCAAGCTATAAATCTTCTAGAATACATTCTAAGCAAAAAATTAATCTCTTAATAGCAATCAGAGAATTTTAGTACTCTAGTGGGTTTTGGAGATAATTAAGCTCAGACTCCTTGTTTCAAAGTAGAATTAAATGACTCGAAATGACTAAGACGACAACAAAAATTGCAAAGATGAGTAGAGATCTTGGAAATTTTGAGTCATGATTTTGTAGTGCTGGGAGAAGGGATGGGTGAGAGGTACAAATATTAATTATAGCACTTTGCTTTAAAACTTACACATATGTAATACATGTTCATTCTTACAGTCCTTTACTCATATCAAATATCTTAAAGGAGATGATAAAAACCAAAGAAATCTCACAAGAGAGGAGAAACTATATGAAGACATTGTACTAGGAAATAGCACAACTGGATGAGAGAATGTTTTATGATGTGAGACAGGATTTTGAATACTAAGGCAGATAAAAGGAAAGAAATGAGGAAGAGTGGGAAGTAAGCATTGTTCGATGCAGACAGAACTGACATACAGCTATTGTGAATGAGCACAAATTTTAACCCCCATTTAATTAGCAGCGGGTACAGCAAAAAAGGGAGACATGATTTCATGTAAATGACAAGTCCAGAAATGATAGCTGATCAGTGGTTGCTTGAGGCTGGGGGTAGGAGCAGGAATTGATTACAAAAGGACACCAAGGAACCTTCTGGAGTATATGAGAATGTTCTAAAACTAGACTTTGGTGATATCTGTGCAACACTGAACTATATTCCTTCAATGGGGTGAATGTTATGTATGTAAATTATACCTCAAAAGAGTCGGTTTATTCATTTATTTAGTTTTGCTTTTAAAAATCCCAATCAATAACAACAGACATAGTATTCCTAAGAACCCTCAGATCAGAAATTGGCAAACTGTGTTATAAACAGACCCAAAATTGTGTATCTTTTTAAAAAAAAGCAGTCTGTTACAAGTAGTTGTGCTGTTGTATAAATCACAGCTATGAGAAGGAGCTATAACATCCCCCAATCAAGTGAGCCCCCCACGCTTCCTCACTTCATGGGAGAAGGGCATTTTTCTAATTGATCCACTGGAAAAGGAGGGTTTTGTTGTAGTGATTTTTATTTTTCCTCCAACTTGCAAAATACTCTGGTGGCAAATGGGCAGTGTTGTCCTGGTGATGTGCAGGGACTAGGATTACTTTCCTTCCTTGAAGATGGTATCAGCCAGTTATGCAAATCATATATATGAGCTCAAATTCTTGCTAATGAAAAAGTTGAATCAATCTGATAAATTACTCTGCTATAACGCTTGAGTAGGTAAAGGGCTTAACAACAGGAGACAGCCAGAAAAGGGGGGAAAAAATCGGAATGAGCTCAAATTCTTGCTAATA